GTTCATTAATTCCTCTAACAATTGTTTCTTAGGTAGCTGGCTGGGTGTGACCATCGCTAGCCAGCAGAATAGGGGCTGTCATGGCTGTGTGAGGCCACAGCTGATAATGTGAACTTTGCCTTCTGAATTCTTGTATCTGCAAGTTATTCATTTAGAATGGAAACAATATTGAGCTCCCTAAGAATAATGAAATACCTTCATTTTGAATACGACATTCTTATTCTTCCACAGTACATGTGGAATATATGCCAGAGGAGTATGAGCGAGCGGTTTCACAAAAGAGACAAGAGGGGTTAGACAAACAGAACGTTGCAAAAATTAGCCCTGTGCATGAATCGTTCATATGGAAACAGTATGTTCCATTTTGTTTCGCTAGTATTGACTGGTATTACTATTATGACCCTACCAGCTATATTAGAATTCAAAACTGTCTGTACTGTATACCATGACTGTTAGAAAGCACCAGGCTGGAGTGAGGCTCTTACTAATTTCAAAACCTCTAGGGATGTCCCATTTTACTGTGAGCTAGAAAAGGGTGAGTGTTGGAAGGCAAAAGGCAAATCACTGTTGTGTAGAAGTTGAGTAAGGCAGTACTGAAAATAGAACAGTAATTGTAAAGCTATTTCTGGCACTGTTTTTCTGGCTTGTGAGTCCCTCTTGTCCCTTTCATCTCTGAGAAAGATAGCTATGATAATAAATTTATAAGAAGAAGTTGCTGATTTTATTCCAGAAGTAGATATATAGTAATAATAACATAAAAACTTTATGCAGTTATTCTATCTAGGGTTTAGGGCTTTTGTTTTCTTTACACAACATAGTTGAAGATCACAGTAGAACTTCTAGGACTCCATATAATTTTCCAGATGGCTATTTTGGGGATGTTTAGAGCCATTGAATACAATTGGAAGACTGTAGTTCACAGGGGGGAAAAAACGACTTGTGCACTGTCCATATTTCTTTTACATTATGTTTCATGTAAACACTACTTGTAGTCTGTTTGTGCTAGGCATACTGTTAAGGGATGATAATATGCAATCATTGATTCTTATGTCGATCTTGCAGAGCGATATTTTCTTTAAATGTAGACAAGTGTTATTTGCACATTTGCCTGACTGCCATCTAAGTTAGTCTGTCATGCCTGGGTTGACTTAATTTGTTCTGACTGCTAAAGGTTTTCAAAATAGAAAAATCCAGGTGTTATGAAGAAAGCCATGAAATTTACTTTATTGATGGAGAATATATCTTTTCATGGATAAATGAAAGAAACTCTGTCAATGGCTGAAGCCTATTAATAATTTTTTTGTCGTACCCTATTGTTTGTCTTGATTGGTCAGCTGTTACAAGATTTATTTTAAGTTAGCGTATTAGCTCTGCTTTTTAAAAAAAATCATGCTATTTGCCCCTTTTTCAGCCTGAGAGCAGTTTGACTGGATTCCATCAAGTTGTACTTACTTTTGCTTTGCATTCTTTCTCTTCCCAAGTATGCAAAACAGGGTTTGGTAGAGTGCTGTGAGCTTGTTTATAGCATGTAGTTGTTCCTCAAATAGCCTAAGTATGTGCAGTCCCAAATAGCTTTGTGTAAGATGTTCCCTATCCAGTAGAGTTAACTGCCAAAGTGTAATTTTTCGGCATCTGGTGTGGGGTATTTTGCTTGCCTGCGTGGAACAGATTTAACCACTGAGAAGTTTTCTCCAGCTGGTGGTAGAAATCATGAAATACTTGTAATCAGTAGGTCTCTAATAGGTTGAGACTCCCTCTGGGGAGGGCATTGCTAAGTTTTTCACAGCTAGAAGCCACCCTTTGTGCATCATTTCAAAGCCCAGAGCGGTGTGAGGCCTGATGTGGGGGTAGTGAAAGGAGAAAGTTCTCCCTGAAGAAATTTCAGCTTCAGCTTTTTAGTGTTAAGGTCTTCTGGATATGGGGTTGTTGTGAAAGTGGTTGCATTCATATGTTAACTTTTCACTGTAGTAATAAAAAGTAAATGGCAGCCCTTGCTAAAACAAGGTCATTTTATATTCTGAAGATCAGTAAATCAAGAAATAGAAAAGCACAAATCCACTTTACAACTTTTTCCTTTAATGTTTACATTTCGTATTTAAAAAATAATCCAGACTTTATAATATTGAAGATAATAGGAGATACTGTTCTTTTGCTTTGTACTGTAAAACATTCACATCTATCATAGGAATGTCATAAGGGTTACTTGTGTGCAGCGGGCACTTTCACTGATGGCAGACTCCTTTAGATATGTATTGCTTGAGCTCAAGAGGAGGCTGCGTTAGTTTAAGTAGATGTTTATGACACATATTTGACAAATCTGGTTCCATGTAATGCTACCTGTAAATGCTGCTCTGTTATCACGATGCGTGGAAATGCTCACTCACTAAAATTTTTCTTCAGTCCTCCACCAGGACTCCACCTGTAATAATTGTGTATTAGCCTTTATTTTGTGAATATTGTCTTCTGGTATAAAGAAATGCTAATGTATTTTGAAAATTTGGAGATACCATTTTAGTGGTTACTTATTAATCAGAAGAAAAGCAGGCAATGAAACATGTTTATCCACAACAGCTGCTTGCAGGGAGGCATCATAATAAATATTACATTGGTACAAAGAAGGGCATGCATCATTTTCTGGACGATCTGTGTGATAGGGTAGTCGTTATAGTGACAGTGAAATAAACATCAGTCTCATTTTTCCTTTTTTTTTTTTTTTTTTTGTAAGGTTGCATCAAAGCTGTGTGCAGCCTGTTCTTTTGTTTCTTTGCACATGGATGTCTGTACCATTTCTCCTAAAGCATTGAAGTCAGACACGTTCAATATGTTTTTTTTTAACCTGAGCTGCAACTGTTCCAATTTACGTTTGTATTCACCACCACCTCCCACCCTGCAAGCAAGCCTTGCTTTTAAGGTTGGCTTATCAGGAGCTACATGTCTGTGAATGCTGTCTTGAGTGCATGTAGTACAGTCTGTTCACTGATTTCAGAGAAGTCTTTCACATGACCTGCTTCTCTGTTAAGGTGCTAACTGTATGTGTTCAGAATACCGTTCTTTATTTGCAGCATTGTATTCCCTTAGTGAGAAACTGTCCTAATAACTTACCTTTTTGACCCACAGCAGATACATGACATTGGCTCTAGCTTTTCTCTTCCTCCTTCTTTTTCCTTCTTTTCTTTACCTTTTGTGGTCAAGAGACCAAAGCAATTTGATATCTTATTTGACACCATCTTTGGTGCAAATACAGTTTTAACCAAGGAGGGCAATAGAGGCTTTCTCTAAATGTGCCTGACAGTGTTTAAAAAAAGGTTATACTACTTCTAACCTGACTTTGGTTAACAGCAATATTTTGTGCCTGCTGTATGGTAAACTACTTTAACAGCATGTAAATATTTTGTCTTGGGGTCTAAAGGAATTAAAAAATTTCTTCTGGAAAGGAACAAAGCATGTAAATGAGTTTATACACAGGCTTCTATTTTGAGTATTGCTATACAGATCTGCACCGCATGTGAATTTGCACACAGGTTATTTTCTTCTCTATCATGAACAGAAAGCACAATTATTTCTTTAATTAGATTGAAGAGCTGCTGCTTCGTTCCTTATTAACTTACCAGTTTCCCCAGCCAGGCTCACATTTCTTTCTGACTAAATTTCTCATGCCAGATAGTTGTCACTGATGCTGGAAATAGTGAAGAGGTAAATAAGACAGCAGGTTTTTAAAATTACTTCAAGCAGGTTTGCAGATATCAGACGTGCTTAGAAAGAAATGACTCAAACCTTAAAATTTAAGTGTATGTTTGAAGTGCTAGTTGATCCATGTCCAAAAATTGAGAGCTTTTGCAGTCAGCTATGATGTTGTCTTCAATTGCTTTTGTCAAGATCACTGTCTTATTTTTCTCCTTCAGTTTGTTCGTGGATCTCAGACTTTACATCTCCTAGTTAAGTGTACAGATAGCTGAAGTGGTCTACCTACTACAGATAGCTGAAGCGGTCTACCTACTGACAGCCACCAAATGGGCAAATAATACTCTTTCTTAGAGAAGCCATAAACCAGTCATCTTTCCTAATGGTGAATTATATAAGAAGGTTAAGTTAATCTCATCTTAAACTTCCTCTTTCCTTTCTCTAATTCCAGTTCAGGGGCAAGATCTGGGTTCTCAGTGCTTGAAATGAAATCCTAAAATGGTATAGTCATTTTCCTAATCACCAGACCTTGCCATCTGTGTAATTCCAAGGGTGGGAAGGAGCCCTTTGCTTAGGCTGCAGTGATCCATACATCACTCAGGAGTGCACAGGGAAACGAATCCCCTGACCGGCAGATCTGAAAGTGGAGATGCAGTCAGCCAGTGTAGCTGACCATAACACACTCTGACTGAAATACAGAGATAGAGACAAGTGCAATTGTTGAGAAACATCTCCAGTGATGGAAACGTCACACCAGTGGTGTATCTGTTGCCTAGTATCAAGTTGGTTTGTATTTTATGATACCAGCCAGCCCAGTCTTAACTTTTATTAACCTAATTATACATGGCCCTGTTGTAGGTATATCAGATATGATAATGTTTTATAGCTCCTGAATGTCTGTCTGGCTATTATCCAGGGACCATTAGACAAATATATGTTAAAAGCATGACATGGCTTTTTGATGCACAAGAAATAGGGCCTCATTTCATGAGCTGTGTTAAACCAATTGTGTAAAATTCCATTAAAAAAGCGTGCAGTAGAGGGAGGGATCAGACTTTGTCAGAACTTTTAAAAATGTGTTCAGAATGATGCAGTGTATAGGACAATGTTTGAAGCAAATAATGCATACAGCAAAGTGTAGAGAAGCATTCCCCAGTGTTTTCTTTCCATTTCTTCATTTAGTGATCTTATCTTTCTGTCTCGTTTTCATTTGTGATTCTATCTGTATTTCTTCTCAAATTAGGCCAATATTTTATTTCCTTATCATAAGACACCTGCTTTAGTACAGTGTTGCTTTGGGCTTCCCACTGTATGTGTGTCTGCTTTATTTTTCAGGAAGCCATTGTATGGATTGTTTCAATATAATTCCAGTATGATTGGACTAGAATCATTAGCCGATCCCTCAGATACCTGGGAAATTATAGAGACTATTGGGAAAGGCACTTACGGTAAAGTCTATAAGGTTGCCAATAAGAAAGATGGGAGCCTGGCAGCAGTAAAGATTCTGGATCCTATCAGTGTAAGTAAAAAATATTAAACTGTAACTTCATTGTTAATTTAAAAGAATTCTCAGAGTCGAAATGTAAATCAAATGTGTGAGATATTGAAAGTGTCCTGAAGGGAACAATTTTGCAGAATGCATTGACAGGAGGAGTTTGGTACCAGCACCTGAAAGCTGCAACTTACAATTTTGTCATCTCGTATGTTATTTTAAGACAGCATTTGCCTAGTTTCTTTTTTAGGTCTATGTAATTCTTCTGGTACAAATTTAGGTATCTGTGCTTGGAGCATGCAAATGAAAAGAAGGCACAGAGGCATTCCTCTTAGGGGCCTGCTATAGCAGGGAAAATACAAAATGCTGTATTTTATTCTGTGTACCCCCTAAAAGAATTCCTTTTCCCATCACAGAAGTACTGTGAACTTTAGGATATTTTATAATTATCTTTTATAAGGCGCTACTTACAAAAGTGGATTACTGCAAGGCAATAGTTAAGATAAAAATGGAAGAAGAGCACAGCCCAAATTCTCAGAGGTTGTTCTGTGCCAGCTCCAGTTTTAGTGGGTATTAAATGCCTCGCTTCCCTGGAGAACCGAGGCCCTAGTTTTCAATGGAAGATTTAATTGGCAGCTGCTCAGGTTGGATCAAGCTGGAGTCTGATCATGACAGTTGGGCTAAAATGTTTACTAAAAAAGTATGTTTCTGTCATCTACCACTACTGAAATTCATCTTGGTTTTCTCTTGTATAAATCTGAAGAAGGTAATAAATAAGATTATATGCTTTTTAAACAAAATGCAAAAAAAAAAAAAGGAAAATGCATGTAAGAGCTTAAATTTTCTAATAGTCACAGTCTGTGCAAAAACAAGGAAAGATTCTGTGCTTACGTACTGTTCTAAGTTGTGGCCTGTGTGCTGATATTGCAAAATATTTTGTAATTGTCACAGAATTCTTTCATTAACGAATATTTAGTAACATTTGCTTATTTCATGGCTTTTGTTTTGTCTCTCTTTAATTGTTTCTGGTATATGTCTTTTCCTCATAAGCATGTCTTTGTTTTTACTAATGTCCCCTTTGAGGTTTTGTGAAATTGTTCTCTGTTTAGTCCCATCAGATGACCATAAAAAAGGAGTGAATCAAAGGTTCATGTATTTACATTTAGCTTACACAATAAAAAATATGCGTATGTAAAAACGGGTTAAAAAATAATACATGTGTAAATTTCTTATTTAGACAACTGAGCAAAGTTAAGTAGAATTTTGACTTTTCTGGTTAAGTATATTATGCACTGAAGGAATCCTTAAGCAACAACTGCTTGCTTTACACAGACTTCACATTTTTGTATGCAAAAATAGCAAAAGTGGCATGGTTTGTTGTGGATTAAACTCATGGCATTGTGTGAGTAGTTTCAGCGGCATTGAAGTAAAACCATTTAAAAGTACAAACTAAAAAAAATGGTTCTTTTTATCCATGAGAGTTTGTTCTTGCTTTGTATGTACTTAGAATGTTTATATGTTCTGTGTGTTTCTGTTTTTTATTTAGGATGTAGACGAAGAAATTGAAGCAGAATATAATATTTTGCAGTTTCTTCCCAATCATCCTAATGTTGTTAGATTTTATGGGATGTTTTACAAAGCAGATCAATATGTGGGAGGACAGCTCTGGCTAGTACTTGAGGTAAAAACATTTTGATAACGTTATATCTTAACTAGCAAATGTTGTTGGGTTTCTGTTTTTTATTGCTGGAAGAGTCAAAGGCTTTCATGATTCTGTGATTGGGGCCATTAATCAAAGGACTGATGATAGATGAGGTGTAGTAGCCTACTGTTGAAAATAAAACTAAAATAAAATCCCAACTTTGTTTAATAGGGAGTGTCCTTGCATTTTTTTTCTGTTCAAGTTGTTACATTCTGCCTCCAAAGCAAGCAAATCCTTTTGATAAGAATGGTTTGCCTAAAACCAGCTTGGTATTTTCAAGTGAGAGGAAACATTAGATAAGACATTTCTTTAAACTTTTTGAGAGCTCAAGCACTTGAGGGAAATGCAAAAGTGATGAAGTAGTAACATGGAGGACAGTTGTTGAAAACCTAGCAGCAGAAATGCCCTCTATTAACTCTTATTTAGTGGCAGGCAGTATTCTCGCAATAAAAAATTTGTTTTTGTGGTCTTGTTGCCAGTCCAGTGACTGCCAAAGATTGTTGCAAGATGAGGATTTGTTCGAGATGTTTTCTAGGCTTAATGGATACAGAGCTTTGTACAGACTGATGAGCAGTAACAGACAGTTCAAACATTTCTCTCTAACTAAACCAGTAAAAGTTAGCATTCGCTTTTTAATTACTGATCACTTTAGAAATTCCACTCCCTGTTCTTGAATGGTGATTAGAATCAGAATAGGGAATCTTTATTTCCGCTTTAAGTTCTGGAATCCCAACAATACATCTAACTTGTATGCACTGCAGAATTATGTAGCTTGAATGAAAACTTTTACATGGGTTTCACCTTAAATTTTGGTAACTATTTAAAAAGGAGCTTCAGTATTTTTGTATTGGTGTCGTTTTTTACTATATGCCTGCTGGCTTTGTATTGAGTTTGGGCTGGGTTTCCCATGTGTTTTCTTTTTTAATACAAATGCAGCATATCCAACAGATGCATCACATGTGGTAATCCATACAAAAAAATTTTGTAAGGCAAAATTGTGACATTCTATGTAACAAAATTGAATGTAGAATTTGAGAGCGTTAGGTGTTTGTATAGACCTTATCAATTAAGTATGTTAATTTCAGGTGGGTTTTGGGTGTATGTTATCCAAAGTTTTAAAGAAATTTGACATTTAAAAAATTGTATTTTCCATATATGGATAAATTTACCAGACAAGGCAAACTATTTCTTGCCTTGGAATTTACATGCAAATTTATATATGTATAGCAGTTACTTTTTATATTATAAATTAATGACACTTGCAGTAAAAGGGAATATACAAAGTACTCAGACTTTGATCCCTTGGTCTTTGATGAATTCATTGGATGTGTGACTTCTAAAATTTTTAATGAAAAGGTGGATTTTTTTTTTTCCTTTAGGCACAATTTTGCCATGTTTACTCACTATGAGCAGGACCTTACTTTGATAAATGCCTAGGATGAAGAAGGGTGGCAAAAGTGGACACCTTAAATATTTTTATTGTGATGCAATTTACTACATAATGAATTTTAGAGATAAGCGTTTTCTATTTCTCAGATAGGTGTAGCACAGACAACTGTAAAGCAAGCTTCCCTACTTTTCCATCTAAATGTGTGTCAGTCTGCTTTTAAGGTATTACCATTAGGTACAAAGTGGTAATGAAGTTTACAAATTAATTTTGTCCCAGATCTTTGCTGACTGTCAAGAACAGTGTCACTAACAGCTGCAGAAGCATTTGTGGGTTATATTTATTTTCAGAGTCTGTCATTCATTTAACATGTGCTATCAAACAGCTGTCAGTCTGTATCATTTTTCAGTCACAATCAGCTTGGGGTTTTTTTTGAAGTGAGGGCATACTATTCTATATTTTATTTGCAGGCTGGAGATAAGCTTAGTATGGCCTGTCTCAGTAGAACATTTAGTGCAATAAAAGCAATAAACAAAAATCTTTGACTTAATGGCTTGTCAGCAAATGGTTAAGCATGGAAAGAAAAACATGCACTTTCTCTCCTGAGATGATGAAATTCTCCTGTAAATACATTTGATGATTGATATTGAACTGAATGCTCCTACCCAATTGGTTTTAAAAAAGTACATCTAGAATTCCCTACTAATTAATTAAAAAGTAAAGTAAAATTCCTGCCAAACTCATCAGTGTTTTCATTGGTGAAATTTTGCTCAGGAATTTATTTACATAAAGGATGTCTTATCATGTGATCTAGTCCTTTCCATGAACAAAAACTTTCAGTCTAGTGAATTTTTTTTATGCAAGGGGAAGTTAGTAATTAATGAAGGAAAATAGCGACATATCACAGAATTTAGTGACTGAACTGATACACAATCGGTAGAAGTTGTTTGAGATGCAAAACTTAAGAATTTGTAGATATTCTGTTTTCATACCAGTCTCCTGATTTATGCTGTAGTATTTGAAACTTAATACTGATAATGTAAAATGAACTTGTGTTGAAATGCATGTGATTTCTGTGTGGCAGAAACGTTGGTAAGGGTACTGGCTACAAAAACAGATCTAGAGGAGAAAATTCAACGAAAGAAAGGCAATCAATTCTCCCATCTTTTTTTGGTTGAAGAATTGTGAATATTTAAGTAAGAAAAGGAAAGAGGGGAATAGCTGCTTAGAAGGACATGGACAGTAAACTAATGCTGTGGGTGAAAACATTTACAAAGATTCTGATTTTACTACTTCTCCTCCTCTTTTGATGCATGGCAGCCCTTTAATGGGAAATGCTTGCAAGAAGCTGCTTTTCTGGATCAGAATGTTTCATCTCAGTCGTTGGCAGCACATGCCATCAAATCTGAGTATAGAGATGTGGCTTCTGTCCACTTTATATTGCCTGCCAGCAGGAGCATTGACGGAGTGAAAGTTTAAAATGACTGTAATTTGTTGCCTCCCAGTTATCAAGAGCATCAATCTTTTCTGTCTGGCCTTTTCTTTGCACAAAAGCAGTTTTCAAAAAGACAATGCACTTGTTGTGAAAATACTCAAATAATGTGAATTGGACTTGTAAATCCTCTTTTAACAACAAAATGCAGTCCTGTTCATAATATTTTGATTTTTAGTTACATTTTATAAATTACACTTTGTACTTCAACTTTCACTTCCCTGCCCCCACCCAGGCTGCTGTGATTTATTATTAGCATTGCTGATAAAATATGTTCTAAGGTAGGATGACAACATAAATAATTGCAAGGTAAAAATGTAGTTGTTCCCGGACTTATGTTGTAGTGCAGTTTTGCACGGTAGGTGTTCAAAGCCTAAACAAGTATATTGAGTAACTGAAGGCTTGTCTTGCTTTTTTCCCCTCTTGCAACTCTCCCCTTCACAGCTGTGCAATGGAGGTTCTGTCACAGAGCTTGTCAAAGGCCTGCTGAAGTGTGGCCAACGGCTGGATGAAGCTATAATCTCATACATCTTATATGGTGCTCTCTTGGTAAGGATGTTCATTGGGCTTGTAATGACAGCAGAGGGTGCAATTTACTCATCTCATACATACATTTTCCAGTTATAAAGTATGGTAATGTTGACAATATTATGTGGGGTGTTATAGCAGCAGGGGTTGTATCAAGCATGTAATCCGGTGGACAGATGTTTCTATAAAGTATGTGCAGATTGTCTTCATTACATTCCCTAATATTAGGGTAATTGTTTTTAAATAAGGGAGTAAACTTATTTTTGTTACTGCTGGTATATAGGGCCTTCAGCATTTACACAATAACCGGATCATTCATCGTGATGTGAAAGGGAACAACATTCTCCTGACAACAGAAGGTGGAGTCAAGCTCGTTGACTTTGGTAATGACAACTTCCCATTTGTTTTCCTGATACATACAGTTTCGCCAAAGGCATCTGTTTACTTTCCCCTGGGAAGGCAGAATGCCATAGCGAGAGACTTTTTCAGAAGGATACTCAGAATTATTTTAAGAAGCAAAAATGGAGAAGGAACCTGATACAGCAAGAATAACAATTCTAACAAAAACAGTACAAGACTTTCAACTTAAAAGCTTAATCATAATTTAATAATTAAAAATAATTCTGAAGGTACTTTTTTATTTACAATGCTCTTTTGCATTTCACAAGGAATGTCAGTTTCAGGGCAGTTGTCCTCCTAATTTAAATTCAGATGTTCTATCTTTTGCATATGAAAAGGAAACATTCTTCTCTCTGAAATGGCTTTTGCTAGCCCTAAGCATATTTTTTCCCTCTGAGCAGAAGGTAAAATGGTCCCTTGGGTCCAAAACCCAACATCCATTTAATTTGTGATTATTGCTGTTAGATTTGAGCATTGCCAGTCTGGAAACATCATGAGAAACACGAGAGAGAGGCAGAGAGACAGATAGGTAGATAGAAAGGAACATGGCAATAGAATTTAACACAATTCAGCAAATTTTTTTCCCTTTAAATGTGCGCTTAGAAAAATAAGGAAATGCTGTAGTCCCTCAGATATATATGCAATGGAATGGACAATTTTATTAAAGGTGTCAAAACCAGGTTATTAGTAATATGGTTTATTAATGAAACCATATAATGTATAAGGTAGTCATTATTGAGAATAGTATTGTGTGAATAACAGATATTTGCTTAGCAGTGCATGAAGGTAAAGACAAATGTTCACAAAATGAGAGTAGTATAAAATGGTGTGCCAAAAAGTCCAGCAGATAGTAATATTTTTTTTAAAAAAATCCAAAAATATTAAATTTATGCAGTAGAAAAAAATTAATGCTGATGTTGTCATGGTATTATAAATTTAACACAAAAATCTATTGAAGACGCTAAAATAAGTTGGGAAACAGGAGACTCTATAGTATCTTCTAGGGACAGAAATTCATTGTGTTGAATGGTAAAGGCGACAATTAAAATAGTGCTGGGAGAAACATATGGCCTGAAGAAAAACTTGGAGTGAGTCCCTGACCTAGTACAAGGGAAGAAGATCCCTTCTCATTTGGGGAAATCTTGGCAGTATGATCTTTGTTTGTAACTATCCTGTTCTGGGAAAAGTTGGCTTTTCTCCCCAAAGCAAAACGTTTTTATCAGATGTATCAAGGGCCTTAGCTGCAGTGGAATCTCAGTTTGGAGCTCTGGCCTTCGGAGGCTGCAATGACTTTCAATGTGCAGAAACTCCAAGTGGCACATTCAAGGAAGCTGAGAATCCCAACCTTTCTGGTGTCCCATGTGTCTGTCGCCTCTGTTTTAGGCGTTTTTTTCTACTTTTTGTGACAACAGTAGTACTAGAAAATTACACCAAAAATGACTACCTCAGAAAAAGACGTGAGTTAAATCTTGAGTGTTAACACTTAACAGTCAGGAAATGGCAAGAAATGCCCACATATCTGTGTGCTTCCTGACTAAAGAAACACTAGGCATCAAGCTTTCATTAAGTTGCTGGTTTTCCTCTCTAGCCCACTGCCGTACTCACAGAAGGGATCTGGGAACAAATTAGGACTGAGTCACAGGTGATATTGTTTGTAGAACTGCTTCTCTCATTTGCTGCAGAAAGTGGAAGACATGTAGTGAAAAATGCAAGGAGTTCAGGAAGAGAAGGGACTCGCAGTTCAGACTGTTGAATGGCATCAAATTGGAGACTATTCTTGCTTCTGCCAGTGTTTCTCTGTGATGTTGGCAGGTGACTTGCGTCAAACTTTTTAGAAGTGACCTCTCTTCCTCATTTTCCCGATAGCCAGTTTGAAACATCTTGTCCTTTGCCGAAGAGCTAAGTGTTCTTGAACTGCAGCTGAGAGCTGTTACAGCTCTACTCAAGGCATGTGGAGTGCCTGAAAACTGAAAGATCTCAGATTAACTACTCCAAAACAGTGGATGCTTTGGATATTTTTAGGTTAATCCTTGGAACTAATACTCCTCTCCCATTTTGCAGGAATGTTAAGAGAGATTTATTGTTTGATGAGGAGAGAAGGAAACACGTCAAAAGGAAAACAAGATAATAATTTAAAATTTAGTATAGGATTGGATATACTAAATAAGCAACTAGAACTCAAATCAATGGGGATAAAAAAATATTAAATGACTATCCATTCTATACAGAATGAGACAGAATCTTGAAGGAAAAAACCAACTTCATAATCAAGGCTGTACATATGCATATTATGTCACAAAAAGGGTTACTCAGATATCCTTAATTGAGGCCTTTTTTTTTTTGCTCTTATTGCATGACTTTACAACTTGTTCTTTCAATGTAACACACATTTCTTCCCTCAGTTGCTCTCAGCAACATGATATATTTGAATAAATGTTGGTCACAGTGTAAGTCAACCCAAAATGTCTGCAACTTATCATTCATTTATGCTCATGCTCACTCACTCTCTACTGCTGTCTCAGCCCTTTGGTATTCTGCACTGTTTTGGAGTGTCCATAGGTAATAGCTACAAATTAAGCTAGCTCGAGAGAGATCAGGGTTAAATGCTCAGAGGCTTGTTGTAGGTCCTAGGCAGCAACTGCTTCACAGCAGTACTGCGGAAATCACTGAAGGCTTGCAATCACATTGAAAAATGAAAAATAAATACAGAATTGAAGCTTGGAGCCAGCAATCCAATTACTTAACTTATGCGTTATGAGCCCCAATTTCTTACTTACTAATATCAAGAGATGTATATTATATGTGTTTCTGCCTGTTTTGTTTCTGGGTAATGCCACAGGAGCAGACCACAGTGTTTTTTGTTTGTTTTTAAACCATGTTAAGGTGAAATATTTATTAAGTCAATGTTGGGTTTGTGTCAGCTTATTGGAATGCTCCTGAACTCTACAATTCAATTATATGTTGACCAGAGCACAGAAGAAGATTTGCTGTGAAAGTTCATTCTGATTTGTTAACGTTGTCTGATTTTGCTCTAGTAGGGAAAGTTTAAGCAAGTGCATAAATGTTTTGTTGAGCAGAAGCCTCTGCAATACTCTAGTGAACAAGTTTCCTGCCAGCAGTCTTCAGGGAGTAAATTTCAGAGACAGTTTTAAAGTCAAGATGTAATTTGAATAGTTTCTGTTTATACTCATGAACATGGCAGAAAGTAGTCTGTGATATTTAGGTGCCAATTGAATTTTTGAGTTTGAATGAAAGTGCTTCAAATGGAGTGTCATTCACAAAAATATCTCTCAGCAATTCTGAAAGAAAACAGCAAGCTGAAATTAATCAAAGAGTTTGGTACAAATGCCGCACCTACTTTGGCCAGGCATTCTGCAGCTGTACTCCTAGGCTTGGGGGATGTTTTCCAGATACTTGAAAAAAACGGAGATCACAGAAAATTTGAAGCCAAGTTTTTTGGATCTGTTTTATTGCAGGTGTTTCAGCCCAGCTCACCAGCACGCGGCTGCGTAGAAACACCTCAGTGGGAACACCCTTTTGGATGGCACCTGAGGTAGGCAAACATTCCTATCTGGCTTGTCTCTGTTGCAACGCACACTTTGTTGCCGCTTCCACGTAGTAGGAGAAAAGAGTATCTTCTCTTTCCTCCCCTGTGGCTGGGTTTCTGCTTTACATCTAGGCCCCTGTTCAGTAAAATGAATGTACTACTAGAATATATACAAAATAGATTTCTAATAATCTTCATTATTTTCTTCTCTGTAATGTTTCCATAAAAGTACAGGTAATCTGCAAATAATTGAGGGTCATGACTTTCCCATCAAATAATGTATGTTTTAGTGTGCTTGTCTGTGCCTCTAATACAGATTAGGAGAAGAAGGAGGAATTTCCACATTCCTGTCTTGCTACAGGATTCTGCAAAACCCTGACTCAGCTGTGTGTTCTTTACCCTTAATCACTGATTGGGGACCTACATAGTTAGACACATGGACTAGCATAGATTAAAAAAGGAGACAAATAATCTACTGGTGGCCTAGCCAAGTATCTTAGACCATATTTTTGCATACTACTGCCCAGACATAATCCCTTTTCTTCTATTTCATGAAGCTCAAGGAAGTTTTAATACACTATTGAACAGAAGTCCCTCATGTAATTTCCCTAATTGGGGTGAAAGATGTTAAGCTTTACCCTCCCCACTTTAAGAAGCGAAAAATACTTTTGTAAGGTATAGATTATGAAATTAAAAAATAAGGAATGAAAAGGGAATGGTCTATTTATTTGTAAGTTGTTAAACCTTAATAACAGTAGTAGCCTTATTTCTGTTGAAATTTGGGGAATATGAGATGGAATTTGCATCTTACAAATGCACACAGATCTATTTCTGTATGTCAAACAGTTAAAAGTATCACACAAACATTTGTTTTAAAACACTTTATACTTTTATACATCTATTTCTGTTGCTATGGAAAGCTGTTTATAGCTGAGCAGAGAAAAGAAGCTGCTGTAACGGATCCAAAATTGATCTTGCACAGTCTCACAAAGAATAGTTGATATTTTACCATCTCCATAACAACCAGTTTACGTCACAAAGGAGACACAAGATACGTTAGAAACCACTGTGCAAGCATTATTTGTGGAATCACCTTGGTTGAAGACATTCTGAAACCTTTAAAATACTCCTCTAGGCAATAATGGATGTATTATGAAATATTTTATTGAACTCAGGTTATTAGAAGTTATTTTTATGGTACTGTTTTGCTTGAATAATTGCCATCAAAGGCAGTAATCGTACCAAATTTATTTTCCCATCCTCATTGAAAATATTCGTTCTGGAGGTAAAAAGCCAAAGAAATAAGCAGATATTTTGATCTGAAAAAATTTGACCTGAAAATACAACACACATGTAACCAAGGTATGCTATGTACATGGCACATCAAAACAGGAACAGAAGTAGCTTCGAATGCTTCCTGTTTTGAAAAGATTTGTCAAAATAACCAAGCCAGTACCATAAGCATAGTAACTCATATCACTTTTGCATGCCTGTGTGAGCCATGCTGATCAGGCTTCATAGATGTACCAATCTGCAAAACAGCTGTAAGATGCTCAGATACCCATTATGCTGTTGTTGAAATGGCTTTTAAATGACAAGTTGCATAACACTCGTGCTCAAGTCACTACAGTTGCTTTTTTTGTATTCATATGAATGACATATTTCAACTGATGTGCGAGGTGCAATTTACCTTACTTCTGGGGAGATCTTTTTAGTATTTTTAAAATGTGCGGCCAAATTTTTATGTGAAAGATGAAAGAATAGGACTGCAATAGGCTGAAAAACTCTGCTTGGGTAACAACTTTTTAGGAACAGTGTTTTTTAGATGAGACTGGTGAGATCGGTAAAAACTAGACAAACAACAGTTGCAAAAATCTTGCTGCCTAAAGGTTTTGACATAGGATAGAATTTGTGTCAAACCCCAAAATACCATAAAATAACTGGACAGGAAGGAAAGATTACTAATTGGAGAAATAGAAAGCATGAAGACTAGGAATTTTTTTTTTTTTTTAAATTGGACTTTTACTATCTGTATGTGAAACATAGGAGCCTCAGTCAATGTGTAAGGCAATCATGGGACCTCATCTTATCTTAGGGTGAGAAAGATGGATTTATTCTGAAGGGGAAGTGGAAAGGGGAGATGAAAAAGCTTGCCTTGGAGGAAGAGACTACAGGAGTGTTTCAGAGACATGAATCTTGTGAAATGAAGCTGACGGGGAATATTTTCCAGGGTAAACCCCAAGAAAATAAAACCTGGAGAAGAACGATGCAAGATTATTCAAGCTGACAGATAGGACCAACTGGATATAAGCAGGAGACAAATATACTGGAAACTAGAATCACTAGATCAGCCTGGGTCAGGAACAGTCTGTATAATGAGGAAAACCATCGTGTTTTAAAATGAAGTTTGCAAAATGTATCAAAGGGATTATATGACATGGTACTTGCAATAGCAAAAGCTCGTAGGAAAATAGCAGTGACTGAGGGTGGCATAAGGTGTTTTGTTCAGCTCAGTGTTCTTACTGGTCAGCACGAAAAGCAGCAGCTTAACAGTTTTAACTCAAACATCTTAGAGGGCTCTTTTTTTCTCATAACTGTGAGGCTTGTTAAGCAGCAACAGGACAAATAAGCTTTGCCCCTGAGCATTTGTTTTGAGCAGAGTATGTGATTAACAGAAATTTTGCTGAAAAATGAAAATACAGGGCTGTGTGGAAGCAACAGAAGAACTTGGCAAGGACAAGTCAGTTTGTGAGCAGCTTCAAAGCAGACTCACTGAAAATCAATCATTGCTGTTTAACCTAGTTATTATTGTCTCACACTTAAAAACATAGACATGCAGAAACTGGAACACTGAATACAGGCATGCCAAAAAAAAGATAAATAAGGCAGGATAGTTTAAGTATGGTGGATGTTTAAAGCTGCCTGTTGCCAAACTCTTCAGTTACCTAAAATCTGCTTCTATCATGCTGAAATAAATTGTGTTGAATGCTAGCAGGAGAAATCAGATTTGAAACTTTTGAACTGAGCTGTCTTTACATTTCTAGTTCTAAACCTTAACATGTCTCGTTTTCAACCTCCAGTGAGAACTGAAGAAAATCTAGTTGAAATAGAATTACAGTTTTCCTTTTTCCTAAATATAATCATATTATCATGATCTAGCTGGAAACTTGACTCTTGAAACAAACTCAGTTAGAATGTGTACATGTTTTCTTTGTCCCAAATCTAGTTTTAAGAACAGAAATAGAAAAAGAAAAAGATACTTGAAGTCAGAAAGAGCTGGAGAGGTGCTGAAGGTAATTTAAAACCACAGGGAATATGCAGTTATATTTTACTAGTAAGTGCTATAAAATGACAATGTTGCATGCATACTTTTGCTTTAAAAGGAACGTAATTAAAACATAGTGGATCCTTTGAAGGATTATGTGTTGAAATATGACACATGACAGTAGGAAAGCCTGCAACATTGGTAAAGGTATCATGAAAGTTCTATAATAATGAGTTAACCAGACGTAAAAACTTGGCTCTGTTTTGCTATTGATTTCAGAGGTATTTTGGAAGTCACAGTATTATTTAAAGCTGTGTCAACTCTGTATTTTGGATATTTGTTACCATCCTGCCGAGATGAAGTGATCATCAGTAAGACTGCCCCAGAGACAATAGATTGTTTTCCTTCCCCCTGCTGAATCAAGGCATACTTCCTGGGATAAAATTCAGTACATCTGAGCATCAGAATAAATTTCTGCAGTGTTAGAACAATAGGTGACTAGTTTAAATTGTCTGTGTTTTTCCAATGTTCCTTTATATTTTTTTAAACTTTAAATCTGATCATATGTGTGTGCAATAAGTCTAATCCTGAAACAATGGATAATATTTGCTTTGCTTCAGTACAAAGCTGCGTCTCTGCGTAATCTAAAGAAAAATCAACCAAACTGGTAAAAAATGTGTCCAAAAAAGTAATTTGCATTAATGTAGTTGAAAAAATGTATAAAGGGAAAAATCTAGTTTTGCAAAGATTCACAGCAGCTTTCCACTAAAGTCAATATTCATTACAGTAAGAGCTGTATTCAGGACTTAGAATTTGGTAAAAAAAAAATAATCTTCCTTTTGGTAGATTTCTCTTATTTACCTCTCTGTTGTAGGAGATGTGAAAAAGTTACAAAAAAATACATTTAATACTAAATACATTTCATATATAGTTAAATACTGAGTTGGAGAAACAGCGTAGAAAATATAACCCTGTCACTAACCTGGGCTTATGTTTTTAATTAACTCTGAACAGGTACAGGAATACGTTCCCCTGAAACTATTGAGTATATTCTCATTTTGTCACACTTCAACCTAACTTATTTGCCAGCGCTTTCCTTACATCATGGGACTCAAGGTCAGCATCCTGTTAATAGCTCCAGGTCTCTTCACTTTAATCCTTATTAGCTAAAATTAGCTCTTCTGATATGCACATTTTCACTACGCTTTTAAATGCCATCGAAGCATGGAATTTTGTAAATGCTGATCTGTAATGAACTGTAGGAATCCACCGCTTAGTATAAATAGGATATAGATTTCGAGAATGTATATACACTTATTTTTCTGCCTGAAAGCCATTTAAAAACAGTTGTACAGTGAAATAGTATGCGTATTTTGTGATAAAGAAACATAAGGAACTGTGTACCTTCTCTAATAAGGAAAATTTTGAAAATATTTCCTTGGAACATCTTCCATGAAGGTGTAATAACTATTCTCTTACAGCTAATGATAAGATAGATTGCTGAATTAGCTCTTACTACAGTTTTCTTTTTACCTCGTGATTTACAGTAAGTGAGATAATAAGGAAAACGTAATTTACAAAAAATAACTGATTGTCCTTAGGAAGAAACTACATAGAAGAGAATAGAGAGAATTCTTTTACAGAATTCCTATTTATATGGCACCATGATTAATTAATAGTGAAATACTTGAAAATCTCACACATTTAGTAAGTAAAAAGAATAAATGCGATAAATGGTGAA